GGAGGAGGGGGGGGGAGGGGGGGGGGGCTGGGGGGGGGGGGGGGGGGGGGGTTGCCGGTCTAGCAGCCAAATGGGAATGTGGATGAGGTTAGTATCTTTTTCTTCGAGCCCCCTAGGCAAAACGAGCACTTAACCCTTGCAGTGCCAGGGTAGCCCCACTTCCAGGGTTAAAGAACTATTGAATTTTGAAAAAAGAAACCTTTTGTAGTGGGGCTGCCCCTGAACTGAAAGGGTTAATGGCTCCTTGGGCTAAAGAAGAAATACTCGCCCACTCCTTGGTCCTGAGGTAGTGACCGCTCGCCTCTCTCCCCCTCCAATCTGGAGGTAGTATGTCCCGGAGTGTCCTTGCACGGCTGCATTAGACATGATGACATCACGAGTCCTTAGACCGCCGGGATCCATAGGAGAAGAGGCTGTGGGGACCGGTCTAGCAGCCCAGCGGGGCAGAGGAGCAGCAGAGGATATTTTCTCTCTTGGAGAAATTGAGAAGTTAACCCCTGCAGGGGGGAAGTGGGGGTGTAGGGAGGTAGCCCAACTGCAAGGGTTAATTTTTAGATTGCCTGCAGCTCTTCTTTTTGGGATTCTATGTTTACCGTTCTATTGGGCTCCAACTGCAGCGGTGGCGGTTGGGAGTCCCCGATGCCATATTGTACTGAGCGGGTGACGTGCTATGCAAAAATAATAGGGAACGGGCCCTACGTAATGGAGCACAATGGGCACTTCTGGACTGGCCTTTAAAGGTCCCACAGCTTGGGGCCCAGACTTTTTTCTTGTCTTGCGGTTGCTGGAAGTTCACTCTCTACGGATGGGAAATATTGCCTTTGGACTGACCTCTCTCTCCACCTTTTAGGTGATCTGGATTTGGGAGGTTGGCACCCCGAGTGAGAACATTCCACGTGAGCATCATGTCGGCCATATTAGAATGATTGGAGCTGCACATTGAACGTGTGTGCTGTGTTACTTTCCACCTGATTTAGGTTCTGTGGCGTGTAATCCGGTGTGCTGTAGAGTAGACTGAGCCTTTTCTTTCCAGCAGTGCATGCTGGGAGCCGCCATTCTAGAACACTGGATCATGTGATCGTCTGCTGCTATTAATACATAACTGGAGAGGAAAGTATAAAAGGTGACGGGGAAGCTGCACATAACTTCACCAGCGCCTCCGTCTGTGCTCTCTGTTAATCTTTCTATGGCATTGTACACTGTGAATGTTTCCTATGAGATGTGTTTTATGTTGTCACAAACCCACGGCGGTTTTCCTGACCTTCATTGTACATTGCACTGGTGTGGGGAGGGATTGGATCTCTTGCTGTGCGCACTGAAGCAGTTGTTGTATGCTGGGAGGGAGCCAAGATTCCACAATGCACTGGGGAGGGGGGCAGGGACGCAACTGTGCCATGGGCCGCCGTCATGTCTGCTCCTTGATGAACTGGAAAGCTGATTTTGTTTAAATGTATCACCCGTTCCATTAAATGGCGAACACGTAAACCTGAGCCGGGGTAGAATGATTACTGGGATGGTCCCTAGCTTAGATCCGAGGCTGACTGGTTTACTCCGGCCATTCACAAAATGAAGCCTAGCCCTGCACTGCAAGGGTTAATTTCTCGTTGTGGTCTAGGGGGCTGAAATAAAAAAAAAAAACATATGCCCGCCTGATCCTCCGTCTCACTGGGCTACTAGACCCGCAGAGGGAGAGGGTGGTCGCTAGTCTAGGGGCTGGTATACAAAAGATATGCCCGCCTGATCCTCCGTCTCACTGGGCTACTAGACCCGCAGAGGGAGAGGGTGGTCGCTAGTCTAGGGGCTGGTATACAAAAGATATGCCCGCCTGATCCTCCGTCTCACTGGGCTACTAGACCCGGAGCGGGAGGTGAAAGGTCACTAGTCTAGGGGGCTGAAATAAAAGATATGCCCGCCTTATCCTCAGTCCCAGCCAAGTCATCAGACGATACCCAGGAGTGGAGCCAAGCCATCAGATGATACCCAGGGGTGGAGCCAAGCCATCAGACGATACCCAGGGGTGGAGCCAAGCCATCAGATGATCCCCGGATGTGGAGCCAAGTCATCGCATGTGGAGCCAAGTCCTCAGAGGATGCCAATGTTCCTAATACAGTTAGTGGCAGACACATGACCAGGGTCGTGGTCCGTCTGTGGTTTTGGGGTGAGATAAGCTGGTACGGCATATGGTCATATACATGCCTGATACGTAATAAAAGGAATGTACTTAAAATAACTTCTGTTCCTTCAT